ATGATCAAATTTCGAAATTTTAGTAGAGATCCAGTTTACTTTCTAGAGCATGCTTAGTTTTACGAAATCTATTTTTTAGATGTTATTTGTTCAGTTACGATTCTGTTAATGAAAACGCTGTCATATTCATGTTACCATCGATTAGTATTTGTGATAACATTTTAATGTGCGGTTAGCGTTGGCTCAAAGATAAATGAAGGGCCAAATTTCTTTTTTATTTATGTTTGTTTCTATGCAATGAAGAATATGGTTGTCTACCCTCAAGTTAATTTCAGTAATGAAATCTATCGACTGAACCTTGAGCAAGGACAGTTTCTGGAACCGTTGCAAACAGCATCACCATCGTTAACATGCTGTGAATTCAATGAATATCACGAGTTGTTCGTAACCGGTACAATTGACGGTCATGTTGAGGCGTGGGATCATCGAGACCGATCGCGAGTGGGTATTCTTGACTGTGCACCTCACGCTCTTTCAGACGATTTTAAGAAGTAAGTTAAGATCTGTTATCAACACTGACTTTTGGAGAGCATTCATCGTTGGAATGTAAGAGGAACGAATAGAAAATATAATTTGTTAAAGAAATAATATGAGACATAATAAGTGAAATATGAATGATCACTTTGTTTCAGTGAAATACCGCAAATATCGGCAGTAAAATTCAAAGACGCTCTGCATTTGGCAGTTGGAACGAATACAGGCAAAGTGAGTGAATGGGTGGATTGAGAATATTGTTAATACTCTTAATATGGTCTTATTTCTTTCATCCCGTCATAATTGTTTTGAGAAAAATTCATTGAGTTAGATGATGTGCTGTCAATTACTGGAAAATTGTAAGATTGAAACAATTTTGATTGTTAGCTGAGGGATATCGTATGCCGGTGTGCATTGCATATTGTTTTCGATTTGGTTTCTTCGTTCTAGCGAGCGTTTGTTCATTGTATTGAAAAAAGAAACATGTTAAGGTTTTATTATACGACATCCGTTCAAGTCGTCCGTTGTTGATAAAAGATCATCAAATGGGATTAGCGATTCGACGGATCGAATTTGTGAAAGAGCATGATCTGGTGTTGAGTATGGATTCGAGAGTGCTGAAATTATGGAACGAAAATAACGGAAAGCCGTTTGCAGCTATTGAATCGGGCACTTCTCTGTCAGACTTTTGTCGTTACCCAAACTCAGGTTGGTTTCGAATGTGATTCAGTAATCGTATCGGATGGTGTTGAATAAGTTTCGTTTTTGATAGGAATTAACGGCATATGAATTGAATTAATTTGTATTATAGGATTATTATTTTTCGCGAACGAAGCTCCAAAAATGTTGCAATATTTCATTCCGTCGATTGGAACAGCACCCAAATGGTGTTCATATCTGGAAACGATAACAGAGGAGCTTGAAGAAACTGAACAGCCTGCAGGTGCGTTTACAGAGTTATTCCGATACGGTGTCGTGAATGTCATTGAATGCACGACGTTTGATGAATTCACAATGATGACTGCAGAGTTGTTACTGGTGTTGATTTTGCTTTTATGAGAGTATGTTAGTATCATGAGATTGAGAATTNGACTGCAGAGTTGTTACTGGTGTTGATTTTGCTTTTATGAGAGTATGTTAGTATCATGAGATTGAGAATTGTTTTCCTTGTTTATTGTTTTGATAATTTTTAGTAGTTATTATGATGTTACTGATATTTATGTTGTGTTTAAGAATGTGCTCGTAGATCACCGTAATCATCTGAATGTTTCAAAACATTCTTTGCAAATATTTTGTGAAATATTTCTCACATGAAATTATTCATTATGTTAAGTATAAATGATGTATTTCCTATTAATTTTTCTCATATAAATTATATGTTATTCATTAATCAGTGTGAATCTGCGAATGAATAATTTTGTTGTAGTATACGATGATTATAAGTTTGTAACGGCTCAACAACTGGAAGACGTTGGACTGTCGTATTTGATGGGAACGAATCTTGTTCGTGCGTATATGCATGGTTACTTCATTGATCTGCGATTGTACAACAAAGCTAAAACACTCACACAGCCGTTCGCGTATGAGAGTTATAAGCAGAGAAAGGTTTGTTCCATTAGACAGCACGNGTGAACAAAGAGTTAGCGGTTAAACTGCAAACCGAAATGAGTCTGGTGGACGAAAAGGTTGATAAACGAACGAAAAAGAAGGTTTGACGCTCTGCTTGAATTTATTTGCCAGTGGTAGTGTGTTAAAAAGAAGATTATGATCTATATTTGGGAATTCAGTGACATACCGTCGTTTTTAGTTGTCTTCATTAACTCATGTGAATGTTATGTGTTGTCATCCAACTTCATATATTGTCATCTCAAAAGTGAATTGTTCAAATTTTGTTCATTTTATTCATGGAAGAAATGTTGTCTTCGTTAATCAGTTCGTTTTGTTTTATGATGATTCGTCAATGAAGTTTTATTTTTAGGGCAAAGAGGCATCGACAGTTCTAACGGATCAACGATTCACGTCACTATTCACAAATCCAGATTTTGAAATCGATCACGATTCGGAACAATTCAGGTTGATCAATCCAGCACTCAAGAGGTTGGATGAGAAGAAGAAGCGATTGGCTCGAAAACGAGGCGAGGAGTCTGATGAAAGTGATAATGAGGTATAGCAGTAATACTTCTTCTTCGAACGTATCAAAGGCTTACGACATTGTGAAAACTGGATAAGCGAAAACGATTACATTGAACTCACTGATTCATTTTGAGCATTAATTGATCCGACATTGCTTCAGTTATCCATGAATCTATGCCGTTTTCAGTTTTTACTCGGAATTTTTTGTTACTTTTCAAGTGATGGTTTAGTTTGCAGTATTTTACTGGATTCAAATGCGATTGCATTTGACCGTTTGTGTTCTTTTTTGTATAGAAATGTGTTTTGTTCTGACAAATCTGCTTTGTTTACAGCAAAAAATTTTGAAGGCAGTAATCGTTTTCGATGTTTTATGTTTGCATGTTCTCATTTAGATGGCTGTTGCAAGTGGTTTGTTTATGGAGGAAACACCAAAGCATAGATCAGAAAGTGAGAGCAGCAGTTCAAGTGAGAGTGACGAGCATGATGAG